TTGCCTCCCGACACGGTACCAGTCTGCTACGGATGCTGTAGAGTGTTACACACCGGGCTGCTTGGACAACAGAAGTGGATTCACGGTTCAGGAGGCTGGAGCTCCGGGGCGGAGGTGCAGGCCGGTGGCTCCTCTGAGGCCTCACCGAATGACTGGCAGATGCCTTCTCCTTGTGTCCTCAGATGGACTCCGTGTTTCTGAGATCTCTTCTAAGGACACCAGCCGCACTGAATTAGGGCTCACCCGAACGACCTGACTTTAAATTAATCACTCTTTAAAGGTCCCATCAGCCAATACAGTCATACTCGGTTCTGTTTTTTGTTTTGTTTTGTCTTGTTTTTGCTATAGGGCGTGCATGCTGGCCAGAAAGACAGAGAGAGACAGAGACAGAAAGTGAGAAATCACTCCCCAGGGGGATGGCCATGCTGCAATCCTTTCTCCTCCGTTCTCCTCTCAGGATCTTGGGCGCGCACGCACACGTGCCCGGCGTTGAGTTTAAGCCACCGGGTCTGGGACTCAAACCGTGGTCGAATACATGGGAGTCCAGAGACATAGCCATTATGCCAACTGCCAGTCCCTCTGTTCTGTTTTTTAAAGAATTATTTATTTAATTTTGGGACTAGAGATGGCATAATGCCTACATCACTGGACTCCCATGTAGTTGACCGCGGTTCATGTACCGGACTCGGTGGCTTAAACTCACACCAGGTGCATGTGTGTGCATGCCCAAGATCCCGAGAGAATTGTGAAGAAGGGATTACAGAGTGGCCATCCCCCCTGGGGGGTGATTTCTCACTCTCTGTCTCTGTCTTTCTGGCCAGTGCACGTACCCTAGAGAAAAAATCTCTCCAAAAAAAAAAAAAAAGAGACTTATTTTATTATTATTATTTATTTAAAAATTTTGCTATAGTGCGCATGCTCTCTGAGGGAGAGAGAGAGAGAGACAGTGGGAAAGTGATAAGCAAGCCACCAGGTCTGGGACTCAAACTGAGGTCGGCCACATGGGAGTCCAGCACCTCAACCCCCACACTACCAGCTGGTCCCCAAATCATCACATCCTGAATACTGGGGTTCAGTTCAGAGATTCAACATGCAAGTTGTGAGGGACACAACTCGGCAGCCCCCCACAGGTACGTATGTTCAGATGACACATGGAAGGCACAGGGTATCTCCATGAACGACAGCAATTATCACTCTTAGGTTGGGGCCACAGTCTCCTCTAGACGCTGGTGGCCGTGAGCCCATGGGTGCAGGCAGCCACCAGCCGAGAATGCCTGCCCGGCTTTGGCCAAGGAGGATGCATCACTCTTCCAGGAGCACCGAGGTGGCTGCTGGTGTGGGACGAGGAAGCAGCTGTGTGGGGAGGGAGGAACTGCACTACCTGAACCCGACGGCTGTGC